ATCATGCCATTCTCTTCTGGCCTGTAAGATTTCTGTTGAGAAGTCTGATGACAGCCTGATGGGTTTTCCTTTGTAGGTGACTTTTTTCCTCTCTCTGGCTTCCTTTAATACTCTGTCCTCTTCCTTGATCTTTGCCATTTTAATTATTATGTGTCTTGTTGTTGTCCTCCTTGGGTCCCTTCTGTTGGGAGTTCTGTGTACTTCCGTGGTCTGATCGATTATTTCCTCCTCCAGTTTGGGGCAGTTTTCAGCAATTTTTTCTTAAAATACACTTTGTATCCCTTTTTTCTCTCTTTTTCTTCTGGTATCCCTATAATGCAGATATTGTTCCATTTGGATTGGTCACACAGTTCTCTTAATATTGTTTCATTTCTGGAGATCCTTTTATCTCTCTCTGTGTCAGCTTCTGTGCATTCCTGTCTCTGGTTTCTATTCCATTAATGGCCTCTTGCATCTCATCCATTCTACTTTTATGTCCTTCCAGAGATTGTTTCATTTCTGTAGTCTCCCTCCCTACTTTGTTGGTTAGCTCTTGCATTTTTCTCTGCAGCTCCATCAGCATGGTTATGACCTTTATTTTGAATTCTTAACAGTAAGATTGGTTAGGTCTATCTCCCCAGGTTCCCTCTCAGGGGAGGATGTCTGTGGCCTTCTGATCTGGATCAAATTCTTCTACCTTTTCATGGCGATAGAGGTAGTTGTGAGTTGGCACGTGTGTCAGCTAGGAGAACGTACCTTCTTGCTAGTTTGTAGCCTTCCTCTCCTGGGAGAATGGCGACCCCTAGTTGCTTGTGCTGGGCAGCTGTGTGCAGACGGGGTCTCTGATTCTTGCCCAGGCTGCTGTGGAGCTGTGCGCGGCTGCTGTGTGTGTGGCCAGCCTCAGGCTGCTGCTCTATGGTGGGGCCGTGCCAGGAGGGTTAGGGGGAGAGGGGGACTGGTGGACTGGTGGGAGGCTACTTATTGCCATGACAGGCCTCTGAGCTGCACTGTCACCCAGGGGCTTAGGGCGTCCAGAGTTCCCTGGCATTCCCAGCTGCTGGGCTGAGTGCGCCAGGATGCTTCCATCCACCTGTGAGACCTCTGTCCCTTTAAGACTTTCGAAAAGCACTCGCTTTTTGTTTCAGGAGCACTGGCTGCGGGGGCCTGCTCACAGATTTTACTGTCCTGCTTCCGTAGTATCCAGCCACCATACACTGTGTGTCTGTGCTCCTGTTGGGGATGGCTAGGGCTGGGTATTTAGCAGTCCTGGGCCCTCTCTCCTTTACCAGTCCAACTTCTCTCCTCCTGCCAAGGAGCTGGGGTGAGGGGCGCTCGAGTCCTGCCGGGCCGCAGCTTGTATATTACCCCCTTCGTGAAGCGCTGGGTTCTCGCAGAAGTAGATGTAGCCTGGCTGTTGTCCTGTATCTTCTGGTCTCTCTTCTGGGAATAGTTGTATTTGTTGTATTTTCAAAAATATATATGGTTTTGGGAGGAGATTTCCACTGCTCTACTCACACCACCATCTTGGCTCCTCCTTCTCTCCTAGGAATTTATCCAGAGAAACCAAAATCTGATTTGAAAAGATATTTGCACCCCTATGTTTATTTTCACATTATTTGCAATAGCCAAGATCTGTAGCATTCAAAGGGTCCATCAATAGATGAATGGATAAAGAAGAGGTGGCATATACACTCAATGGAATATTCTGCCATAAAAAAGAAATCCTGCCATTTGAACAACATGGATGGACCTAGAGGGTATTATGCTCAGTGAAATAAGCCAGGTGGAGAAAGACAAATACCATATGATTTCACTTATTTGTGGAGTATAAAAACAAAGCAAAACAGAAGAAATAAGACAGCAGTAGACTCATAGACACTGAGAAGTGACTAGTGGTTACCAAGGGGGAAGGGTTGGGATTGGTGGGGGGAAGAGTGAGTGGGATAAAAGGGCACATAATTCACAATCACAATATAAATTGGTCACAGGGACAGTAGTACAGCATGGACAATATTAGTCAATATTCCTACAACATCTTTGTATGTTGATGGGTAGTCACTGCACTAGAGGGGATGAGGACTTAATAATATGGATAACTAGTGAACCACTGTGTTGTACATTGGAAACCAACATAATATTGTATATCAATGATACTTCAAAACAAGATTTTGAATTAGAGTTTCATTATGAAACAAGATGAATTTTATGTTTTACTGATAAATCTATTAGTATAATAATAGTTAACATTTTAAATATTATATGTCAGACACTAGCTGCTTTTTAAAAAAAACTTTTATTGAAGTATCATTGATACACAATCTTATATTGGTTTCAAATATACAACAAAGTGGTTCAAAAGTTATGAATATTATTAAATCCTCACCCCCTCTAGTTCAGTTACTATCTATCACCATAAAAAGATGTTACAGAATAATTGATTATATTCTCCAAAGCATTCAGTTTCTTGATTAGCTTTCATTAATGATGTTCTAAGGACAATATTTCCAAAATATACATTTTCTAGATATTTGTTTGAAAATGTTATGACTTTTGGATTTGCATATCTACACACTTTAGATACCCCTGTGGTCAATTTAGTGAAAAACAAAGAAATATCTGTAATTAATCAAATCATAAACATCAATGAATATTTAATATTAATTCATAACTTGTAAAATCATAAAATTTAAATTTTTATATAAAATACTTCCAGATTATCTTTTATTGATATATAAGGAAAAGTACCATAGTTAATAGTAAAAAACAAAATCTATGAAAATATCCAAATGACTTAATTTTACTAATGAAGAGTTTGTATAGGTATACTTGAACCTCCTCAGTTTAAGTGTACACACACATACATGTTTTATGTTTGTTCTAGAAAAATTAATATTTAAGTGAACTCTTAAGTGACCCCTTAAATCTTCTTAAACACTTCATCTGAAATATGTAAAACTTTGCCTTGCTTGAGAAATTTTATTTGACTTGAGTAAATCTTAATTTGGAATTTCTCCAAATTTGAGTATTTTGTCATGTAAGACATTATAAAGGAAGGGATTTTGGTCAAGTATATTAAAGGCAAAGAAATATTCCTGTGTGAAGTGGCTGATTCTGTGCCTTTTGATTAATAATTCATTCCTGTCTTTGATGAATCTCAATTCTTAGTAATGAGTTGTTTCTTGGTCAGGTAAATGAAGAGGATGAAAACCAAGACACAGAAAGCATTTTTAAAGGGTATCGCCCTGGTAAACTCAAACTCAGTTTTGAAGAAACAGAAAGACAAAGGAGAGAAGATGAAAAAAGAAAAGCAGAAGAAGAAGCCAGGAGGAGAATAGAGGAAGAAAAGAAGGCATTTGCTGAAGCAAGGAGAAACATGGTAAGAGAAAGAACCATTAGGATTCAACTTTTTAGAGTATGTTAAGAAAAAATTATTAAATGTTGGGGAATATTCTATTATTTCTGGAATTTATGCTAAAAGTAGGATGGCAAAAACATTTGAAGGTGTCCTATGGCATACAACCATTCACCTAAAGATGTTTGCTTCAATATAGTGCTGCGGAGGTTAAATTGCTATGCATGGCATAGAGGATTAAATATTACCTTCCTTCTCTGGGAAGACCTGTTTTGCAGAACTAAGCAAGCAGAAGTTTCATATGCCCAGCTTTCCTTCCCTCCTCTCAATTCCCTCCCTTCCCATGTTCTTCCTTCTCTCTCGTTCTTCTTTTCAATTTCCATACCATCCAATCAGATAATCAAAGCCATTTAATCACAACTGTTTGCTCTCCAAAATGTTCACCTATCGCTTCTGGAATTTGGTAGCAGATTTAACTGTCACAAAGTCATACTTCTTGTACCATTTAAACGTTTGTAAAACGTAGCTTTCTGATAGGCTTTATTTCCAAGCAAGTTGACATGTGAATGCTGCATCTCCTTCTTGAAACCTTTTAATTAGCTTCAGTGATATCATGACCTCGTTTTCTTCCTGTATCTGAGCTTCACACACATATATCCAAGTGTTTATTTGGTTTTGTCACCACCCAGATGCTCAAAATCAAACACTTTGGGGCCTTGAACTCTACCATCTCATTCATGCCTCACATCCAATCAATCACTGTCTCATTTATTCTACCTCCTATATCACTCTAAAAATCAATAGTTTTCCTCATTTCCCATTGCTACTACATAATTTGGAAACTGTTACCTCTTGCCTTGAGCCAACTCCTACTTAATTTGCTTTCTTGCCTGTAATCCATTCTTCCTTGTAAACCCAGGAGTGATCTTTCTTTTGTTAAAATTAAAAAATTAAATTTGATTATACTACTCTTTTGCTTAAAAATGTTCCACTTCCCTTATGAAATCTAAAAACTTTTAAAACAAATTTCTTTACGGTCTTGCCATAGCATATTTCTCCTCTTTCACTTCTTGATTCTTCCTTAATTTGCCATCTTATTTCAGACATACTAAATTTCTTTCCATTTCTTCAAAATGTGCTCTCAACTCTAGACCTTCATAAATGCTGTAGGAAACATGTCCCTCTCCTTTTCCTGTGCTTTGTCATCTATTTTTCATATATTCCATTTCCTCTGGGAAGCCTTTCCTGGTAAAACAAGTTCAAGACAGGTGGTCCTTCTATGTGTTCTTACAGCATTTAGTACTCACCTAGCATAGCACTAATGCTGTTTCTTTTGGATCGTCTATCTCACTCAGTGAGGCTGAGACTGTGCGTCAAGCATTTGGCACAGTACATTCTAGCAAAACAAACTTCCTACAAATGTTTGTGGAATAAGTGGTATTAGAACTATTTTATGTATATTATTGGGTAATTCTTGATACACAAACGTTTCTACACAGAAACTCTACATTGTGAAAACACTTAATTTTTGGAGAATAAGCATTTTCAGAAGTGGTAGATGTAAATGAAGTAGCTGTGAAGATCATAATACCTAGTCCTGGGGACTAATTTTTAGGCTCAAACTACCTTTTTACCAAGATTCACTAGTGGAAAAAGTGCAGGGAAGGAAAACTGCATTAAATCAAAACTCCGGTTTCCTAGAGACATTTCTGTATCAGGAAAAGAAAACCTTCTTCATTTATGTTGTTCTCTTATGCAGGGGCAAGCATTGTAATTTCATAGTATCACTCAATTAATTCATTAATAAAAAAGACTTCTGACAATCTTTGGATTGTAAAACCATATAAACATGTTTCTAAGTTGAACTGATTCTGTGAGAAAGCATATCATATATAAAACTTCAAATAAATAAATAATTATGCTTTGCCTCTCCCATTCCTTCTATTTTTTCCACACAGTCACAATTCAGGCCAGAGGTTTATGTATATACTTTTAGGGGACAGAAAACCACAATTAAGTAATTGGTTTTTATAGTAAAATATATTCCAAGTCAACTTATTTATCATTTATTTTAGTATACTAGATATACAATATTATATTGGTTTCAAGTAAACAACACAGGGATTCAAAAGTCACACACATTATTAAATCCTCACCCCAACTAGTTCAGTTACTATCTGTCAACATAGAAAGATGTTACACAGTCATTGACTATATTCTCCATGGTGAACTTCCATCCCGGTGACCAACTTATGATTTGAGACTTTTGTGCCTCTTTATAGCATTTATTAGTCACCTAGCATAGCACTAATGCCCTCACCCTTCCCATTGCCTCTTCAGTGGTAAGCACCAGTCACTTCTCAGTCTCTATGATTCTACTGCTGTTTTGTTCATTTTCTTTTCTTTCGACTTTAGCTTTCACATATAAGTGAAATCATACGGTACTTCTTTTTCTGCCTGGCTTATTTCACTTAGCATAATCTCTAGTTCCATCTATGTTATTACAAGAATTGCAGGACTTTTTTCTATTTTATGGCTGAATAATATTTCATTGAGTATATGTACCACATTTTTATCCATTCATCTATGGGGGATGCTTTGCTTGCTTCCGTATCTTGGCAATTGTAAATAATGCAGCAATAAACATAGGGGTGGGAATATCTTTTCAAATCAGATTTTGTTTTCTTTGGATGATTTCCTAGGAGAGCAGTTAATGGTCATACGGTATTTCTACTTTTAGTTTTTTGAGGGACCTCCATATTGCTTTCCATAGTGGGTGCTCCAATTTACTATGCCTCCATCAGTATAGGAGGGTTTCCATTTCTCTGCATCCTTGCAAACATTTGGTATTTCTTGTCTTTTGGATAGTGGCTGTTCTAACAAGTGTGAGATGGTATCTCGTTCTGTTTTTGATTTGCATTGCACTAATTAGCAATGTGGAGTATCTTTTCATATGCCTGTTTGCTATTTCTACTTTTTTTTCTTTTTGGTATCACTAATGGACAATTACATGAGCAACATGTGGTTACCAGATTCCCCCCATTATCAAGTCCCCATCACATACCCCATTAGAGTCACTGTCCATCAGTGTGGTAAGATGCTATGGAATCACTACTTCTCTTCTCTGTGCTATACTGCCTTCCACATGCCCCCCACCTACATTATGTGTGCCAATCATAATGCCCCCTTTACCCCTTATCCCTCCCTCCCCACCCATCCTCCACAGTATATTTCCCCTTGGTAACTGTTAGTCCATTCTTGGGTTCTGTGAGTCTGCTGCTGTTTTGTTCCTTCAGTTTTTTCTTTGTTCTTATACTCCACAGATGAGTGAAATCATTTGATACTTGTCTTTCTCCGCCTGGCTTATTTCACTGAGCATAATACCCTCTAACTCCATCCATGTTGTTGCAAATGGTAGGATTTGTTTTCTTCTTATGGCTGAATAGCATTCCATTGTGTATATGTACCACATCTTCTTTATCCATTCATCTATTGATGGACACTTAGGTTGCTTCCAATTCTTGGCTATTGTAGTGATGCAATAAAACATAGGGCTGCATTAAATCTTTTTCAAACTGGGCTGCTACATTCTTAGGGCAAATTCCTAAAAGTGGAATTCCTGGGTCAAATGGTGTTTCTATTTTTAGTTATTTGAGGAACCTCCATACTGCTTTGTACAGTGGTTGAACTAATTTACATTCCCACCAGCAGTGTAGGAGGGTTCCCCTTTCTCCACATCCTTGCCAAAATTTGTTGTTGTCTTTTGGATGGTGGCCATCCCTATTTGGATTTTTTCTTTGGAAAAATGTTTGCTCGAGACCTCTGCCCATTTTTTAATTAGGTGTTTTTTTGTATTTTGGGTGTTAAGGCTTTTGAGTTCTTTATCTTTTTGGATGTTAACCCCTTATCAGATAAATAATTTAGAAATATATTCTCCCACACTTACTGTTTTGTTTTGTTGATGGTGTATTTTGCTGTAGAGAAGCTTTTTAGTTTGATGTAGTCCCACTTACTCATTTTTGTTTATGTTCAAGAGATTCTTGCCTGTTTTCTTCTAAGAGTTTTATGGTTTCATGACTTACATTCAGGCTTTTGATCCATTTTGAGTTTACTTTTGTGTCTGGAGTTAGACAATAATCCAGTTCCATTCTGTTACATGTAGCTTAGTTTTTCCAATACCAGTTGAAGAGGCTGTCTTTTCCCCATTATATATTCATTGATCCATTATAATATATTAATTGACCATATATGTGTGGCTTGTATCTGGGCTCTCTATTCTGTTCCATTGATCTATGGGTCTGTTCTTGTGTCAGTACCATACTGTTTTAATTACTGTAGCTTTGTAGTATAGCTTGAAGTCAGAAAGTGTAATACCCCAAGCTTTCTTCTTTCTCAGGATTGCTTTGAATACTTGGATTCTTTTGAAGTTCCATATGAATTTTAGGATTATTTGCTCTAGTTCATTAAAAAATGCTGTTGGAATTTTGATGGGGATTGCATTGAACCTATTAATTGCTTTGAACAGGGTAGCCATTTTGACAATTTTTTCTGTCCATGAGCATGGGCTAGATTTCCATTTATTTGTGCTTTCTTTAATTTTCTTCATCAGTGTCTCTTAGTTTTCAGAGTATAGGTCTTTCACCTCCTTGATTAGGTTTATTCCTCGCTAATTTATTCTTCTTGATGCAATTGTAAATGGAATTTGATTTCTCTGATAGTTCATTATCAGTGAGTATGAATCCAACAGATTTCTCTATATTGACTTTATATACTGTTACTTTGCTGAATCTCCAGTTATTAGCTCTGATATTTTGGTGGAGTCTGTAAGGTTTTCTACTGATAGTATCATATGAGCTACAGACACTGATGTTTGACTTTTTCCTTAACAATTTGGATGCTTTTTATTCCTTTATCTTTTCTGATTGCCATGGCTAGGACCTCCAGTAGTATACTGAATAAGAGTGTTGAGAGTGGACATCCTTCTTGTTCCCGATCCTAGAGGAAAAGCTTTTCACTTTTCACCA